GGAAGGAAGGAAGGAAGGAAGGAAGGAAGGAAGGAAGGAAGGAAGGAAGGAAGGAAGGAGGAACAAAGGGAAGAAGGGAGGGAGGGATGAAGGAACAAAGGAAGGAAAAAGACCTGTCTGTGGAATTTGTGAAACTGGACTGACACTGAGTTTCCACCAGAAACCATAGCAGGAATTTGAGGAGAGAACAAAACCTTGTTTCTCTACAGTGGAGCAGACGTGTTGCTTCTAGAGGCAGAGGAATGGACAAAATGACCTCAGATCAAAATGACTTCCAGTATAACCCAAACCCTCCCCCTTTCAGTCTGTCTTCTGAGTCTCCAAACCTAGATTTTACTGAGCCATGTTTCAGAGTGGAGAACACGGAAACTATAAGCATCTTAGAAGGGTGTTTCATAAAGGTCTCCCTGTTTCTTCTCCAAATAATGGGCTTATGTTGCTGAGATCAAATCCCAGGCACAGCTGTAACACATCTGGAAGGTGCGTGCATGTGGCACCTAATAGTCTCAGACTTCAGCCACCCCTCCCTCCCTGCCAAAGGGAATTCTTGATGTGTTGGGAAAACCACCCTACTGGATGGGCTGAGCAGAGTACCCCTAGATTGGTGGGCACTTTCCAGGGGCCCCAGTCATCCAGGACCATGCCTCCTCAAATGATCCACAGAGTCCCTAAACCAGGGCTGGCTTTGCCTGCTGGACATAGTAAAGGAAGAGCCCTGCATATGTCTTACGAGCCTCTGGACATGGTCAGACCTATGCTTTAGGAAAAATAACTTTGGCGACTGTGTGGAGAAAGAATTGGACAGGGGAGACCCTGGAGGCAGGGAGGATGATTGGGAGGCTTTTGTAATAGACCAGTTGAGAGGTCAGAGTTAGGATGGCGGTTGTGGGAGCGGAGAGAAGACAGGGGATGTATCGGAGGATGTTGTGGAGGTATAAAAGGCATGGTTTGGCACTGATTGGATACACACAGCTGCCAAAGTTATTTTTCTAAAGCATAGGTCTGACCACATCACTTCTATACTCAAAAAATTCTAATGGCTCTCTATTAGCTTTCAGATCAAACGTAAACTGCTCTGTTTGGCTCGTAAAGACCTTCACAGCCTGGCCTCTACCTCACTTTGCAGTCTTGTTATGTATTATGAACTCTCCTGCACTCTATGGTCCAATCAACCCCCACCACCCCCACAGCATTCCATCTCCCACCCCCGCCCCTGCCTTTGCATTGGTCACCTAAAACAGACTCCCTCCTCTGCCTCATGAGAGCCCTCTCTTCCTCCAAGAACATACAGCTCCAGAACCATCTTCTGCAGGAAATCTTTCCTTATCCCCCTCTGGCCCAGCTGCTAGTGTCCCCCCTCCCCAACTGCCTTGAATTTATTTTGTATTTGTCTATGGACCTCTTAGAGTGTGTATAAGACACACCGTATATCCTCATGCAGAACATAAGCTCCTTGAAGGGAGGGACTGTTTCATTCCTCATCTGTGCACCCCCAACACACAGAACAGTACCTGGTGCGTGGTGTTTGCTTAAAAAATGCCCGTTGGTTGATAGATAGGCACACCCTTGAAATCTCCCAAAACCAAAAATTACTTGTACTGTTAGCCTTACAGGGTTGTTGTGAGAAAAACATATGCGTTTTAAACACGACTCTCTGCTTGCCTATCTACCTATCTGTCTGTCTCTAAATATGTCTATCTAGCTGTCTGTCTATTCATCTATCATCTATCTGTCTATCCATCCATCATCTAGCTAACTACCTACCTATTTATCTCCCAAGATCTCTGGTCCTCAGCTTTCCCTTCTGAAAAATGAGGAAAACAGTCTTTGCATGTCTTTCACGGCAAAGGCAACATTGCTAAGTGGTACAAAAGAGGCCCGAGAGCAAAAGAATGATCAGTGTATGATCTGGTGCCATCATCCACGGAAATTGCCAATTGTCATCAGACCAGAGCTAGTTCCAGGGGAGCCCCTTGCCCCCTTAACACATTCAAAGTCCTTGTCTGGCTGGGTGGCAGGTTCAAATCCTACCTCAGATGCTCACGCACTGTGTGAGCTTCCCTTACCTCTCTGGGCCTTAGTTTTCTCATCTGTAAAATGAGGGGCCTGGGCTCGATGGCCTCTTAGGTCCCTTCTAGGTCCAAGGTTCTGAGCTCTTAGAGTTACAAAGTACATGAGGAATCCCCCTCAGATTTCTGAGGCCCCAACCCACACATCAGCGGCTGAGCCTATGGAGTCCGGGTGTCCTGACACCCAGGCTATGAGGCCACACTGCCTCAAAGATTCAGATGGATTTATTTTAGTCTTCCAGAGGGCTCTCCTAAAGAATCCTAGGTCCCTGGATTTTCTCAGCTTCAGAACTGGTCCCTTATCAGTGGAAATCAGGGTTCTTGGATTGGAATCCTGTTTGCTACTTTCCATCTGAATGAGCTTGGGCAAATCCCCCACACACCCCGGGCCTCAGTTTCCCCTTCTGTAAAATGAGGGCATTGGGCTCGATCGTGTCTAAGGTTCCTTCCAGCTCTCTACTCTTCTCTGCTTTCCTGAGTTCTCCCAGAGGTTCAGCCTAGGGAGACCCAGGTCCCTTGTTCATTACAAAGCCTCTGCCTGTGCCTTTTGCATGGCTCACTGCTGCCCTCTTCAGGCCTCCTACAGTACTGCTTCCAATCGCTTCTGAAGGGCTGTCCCAGGAAGACTGGGGGGCCACGGGCCTTTGGGAAACACCCTGTATCCACACTATGTACACACCATGGGGTCTGGAGATGAACACTCAGAGACCTGGATTGAGATCTCACGTCTCTTACTTGCTACCCCGTACCTCTTTTTCTTCATCTATGAAATGAGAGGGTTAGATTGGATGACCTTTGAGGTCCCTTCACACTAATCAATGAGCTCAGCCAGAGCACAGCGCCCATGCACGCCCTTTCTCCTTCCAAGGGTTCCTGCCCAGCTCCCTCCTCAACTTCTCCTAAATCCCAAAGGCCACTGTGCTATTGTCTGGCCCCTGGGAAGTTTGATGGGACTGTAGCCCCAGTCAGTTAAGTACCGACTACATTCTAGGCACTGTGCTAAGTGCAGGAGAGACAAAAACAAAAATCCCTTGCCCTCCAGGAGCTTACATTCTAATACAGGAAACAGCATGGACACCTGTATAGATAGATACACAATACACCCCAAATTAACCAATGAATTTTGAAGAGGGAATGCCAGCAGCTTTACAAACCAAACCAGACTCTCACAAGCCAGGGGCATTAGTGGGTATTTGTTCATTTTCTAAACTATTTTTTTTTATTCTGCATGACCTCGTGGACAGGGTTCCAGGCTTAGACTGAAGTCAGGAAGATGTGTGTTCAAATCTAGCCTGAGATACTTCCTTGCTGTGTGACCTTGGGCAAGTCACCTAAGCACTGTTTGCCTAGGTTTCCTCAATTGTAAAGTGAGGGTAATAATAGCACCTACCTCTCAGGGTTGTTGTGAGGATCAAATGAGATGATAATCATAAAGGGCTTAGCAGAGCACCTGGCACATAGTAGGTCCTATGTAAATGTTAACTATTATTATTGTTATTCTAGCACATATGTATGATATATACTTTTTAAACCTTCAGTCTATGCTTTCTCTACTACTCATCTCACCTTGTATCAAGGAAACATTTTTCTTTCCCATCAACCTTTTATAACGGGGAAGAGGAAGGGCCCCCCCCCCCAGAGCCATGGCTATCGACTTTCTTACCTTCACACTTTGGCATAAGATGTACCTTCAAACCCTGTTGTGGGGGGAGACATCCATGTCAACTGATATGTAGGGAGATGGGCTAGTGGGCCCTGGAACAGAGCCACCATCATACCGTAGCATCTATTTTAACAAATTATTCTTCTTCAATAGCTACAAAGTTCCACCATTCCTACGCTATGGAATGCCTTCAAGTGTTGTTAGCGCTCTCTAAATTCTGGCACCTCAGAACAAAGCCCCAGGTTCCCAGTCCTAGTTACAGCTCTGGACATCCCCATAATCCCCTATTAGCAATGATTCTCCATACCAAATTCATGAATTTAAATCTTCATTGAAGTCATGGAAAATAATAAAAATAATAATCATTGCAAGCATTTCTATAGTGCCTACTATATGCCAAGCACTGTCTAAGGACTTTATAAATATCTCAATCCTCACAATAACCCTGAGAGATAGGTACCATAATTATCTCCATTTTACAGATGAGGCAACTGAGGCAAACAGAGGTTAAATGACTTGCCCAAAGTCATACAGCTAGGAAGAGTCTGAGGCCAGGCCCAGGGCTCTATCCACAGAGCCACCCGACTGATTCTTTCTGTTTGTATGGTGGTTTACAAAATGCTTCCCCACTCATTCGGTAAATGTGAGAACTGAATGGGGCCTGGGGTCCCCTGCCTTTGAGCCTGAGCTGCAAGGGTCCTCCCTAGCTTCTTGGAGTCTGGTCTCTAATGAGGGTGTTTATTCTCTCCCCCTTAACTCATGGGTCCTGGGGTGTATCTTGCAGGTGTAAATACTGCGACCGGTCATTCAGCATTTCCTCCAACCTCCAGCGGCATGTGAGAAATATCCACAACAAGGAGAAACCCTTTAAATGCCACCTCTGTAACCGGTGTTTTGGACAGCAGACTAACTTGGACAGACACCTGAAGAAGCATGAACATGAGAATGTTCCAGGTAGACTGTTTGGGAATTTCCTTTGGTTGTTCGGTCGTTTTTCAGACATGTCCCACTCTTTGTGGTCCCATTTAGGGTTTTCTTGGCAAAGATACTAGAATGGTTTGCCATTTCCTTCTCCAGCTTATTTTACAGATGAGGAAACTGAGGCAAACAGTGTCTTGCCCTAGATCACACAGCTAGGAAGTGTCTGAGGTCGGATTTGAACTCAAGTCTTCCTGACTCCATACCCGGCACATTATGCTCCTAGCTGCCTAGACCAGGGGTCAGCAAACTACAGCCCACAGGATAAATCCAGCCCAGCTCTTGTTTTTGTATGGCCCAAGCACTCAGAATGGTTTTTACGTTTCTGGCTGTACAAAAACAGTCAGCCTATCCTGCCATGGTCCTACACAATCAGAGCATCAGAGGGGAAAATGAGAACTAGGAAGAGAGGAAGAAGAAAAAGAGAGGAGGGGGAGAGAGAGAAAGAAGGAGAAACAGGGTAAGCATATACAATAAGCAGACCTACTATGTGCCAGGCACTGAACTCAGTTCTAGGGGATAGAGAGAGACAAAAACAAAGTTGTCCCTACCCCCAGGAAGCATTCTGTCAAAGAGGACATATATACATATAATTAAATACAAAATAGGGACTGTGATTTCATCGAAATAGGGACTCCCACATGAGGAAATTCCCTCCACCAATACAGGTCAGCACCTCCTTAATATTAGGGCATCGTCTAGAGCATTGAGGAATCAAGTAATATGTTCAGGGTCACACACCCGGAATAGATCACAGGCAGAACTTGAAGCCAGGTCTCCAAGACCATCTCTCTATCTCTAAGCCACATTGCATCTTAGAGAGTAAAAAGAGCACTGGTTCTGGAATCAGAGGACCTGAGTTCAAATCCTGCCATTCATTTATCTGTGAGACCATGGGCAAGTCACTTTTTCTCTCTTGGCCTCAGTTTTCTCATCTGTAAAATGAGGGGGTTGTCTTGGGTGACCCCTAAGGTCCCTTTCACCACTAAATCTGTGATCCTATGATATCCAAGATACTTAGCTAACCCAGATATTTAAGACTATAGAACTGAAGGCTATTGATAAAAAACATGCCAAATGCATAAATACATTAAAGGTCAATTCAAAGTAATTTCAGGGGGGCACCAGAAACTGGAGACATCTCATGTCAGAGTTGGGATGGGAAGAGAGGGGAGTGGAGGTAAAGCGGGGGGTGGCAGAGAGGGTGCGAGGTAATCGATTGCATAAGAATTCTTTTGTTTACCCCAGAAAAGTGTTTTCGTTAAATTAAAACATACAATCTGAGATTTTTCCAAATATTTAAAAAGAAACACCCCAAGTTTGCGGTCAGCAGCTTTTACGCTTGGCCCAGATTGGCTGGGCTGGGCCTTGGCCAATTCCGAGCCTCTAGGACAGCCAGAGTAATAAAGAGTATTGCTCCTTACGGCTGTCTTCCCCACCCATGATTCCTTCTCAGTGAGCCAGCACGCCGGAGTCATCACGAATCACCTTGGGACCAGCGCTTCCTCCCCCAACTCAGAATCAGACAACCATGCACTTTTAGATGAAAAAGAGGACTCATATTTCTCTGAAATCAGAAACTTTATTGCAAATAGCGAGCTGAACCAAGCATCAACTCTAACAGATAAAAGGTAAGAAATGTAATAACAGTTATTACCGTATGAATGACCCAAAGGTCCCAATTCACATTGTAAAAAACAATGCCAAGAGCTTATGTGTGTGTGCGCATGGATGCTTTACCCAGCACTGGCTAAGGTCCAAAAAAAAAAAAGTATTTATTTCAATTGAATTTCTGTTTATTCTTCTGTGATGGAAAATCAGTTTGGGGTTTTTTTGTTTTGTTTTGTTTTGTTGTTTAACTTTAGTATTATTATCTCTTCTATTAGAATATAAACTCCCTCAGGGTAGAGGCTATATTTGTTTTTGAATTTATATCTCCAGTACTTGGCACTTAGTAAGTGCTTACTAACTATTTTTTCATTCATTCATTCATCTTTCCTTGGTCATTCTAATACGAGAAAGTACTGACCAAGCTGGCATCCCTACTATGAAATTCAAACTTAGGCTCTAATTCACAAACATTTTCATTTGCTCGAAGACAGTAATGACTTTAAGGAACCAGATTAAGTTAAAACAAGCAAATGATTAGCATTAGCGAAAGTGCGGCATAGACAGGGCATCAATTTAAGAATTTGCTAATTGTTCTTCTAGGCAGCAGAACACGATGCTCAGTCAGTGGCTGAGCTGATTCTGTGGCTGTAATTCTTAGCCATATGTTATGGTACTGGATGTGATTTCCTGCCACGTGTGTGGCCGTGGCAGTGAAGGCCAGTTACTGACCAGCTATCCAAGGCACACCACACATTTCTCTATTATGGGGCAGCCTTGTTTCTGGCTCTTTAGACCCAAAAGATCTATTGATTATCGTTATTTTTTGAATCTACCTTGTAATCTATCTTACCTTATTCTTTGCTTAGATCTGAGATTGATTCCTAGTGTTTCTGTTTTAGATTAGGTTTTGTTTTTTTTTTTTAAACAAGTATAGCACACCAGAAATTTACTGTAGCCACCTTTCCTCAAAGCACTAATTTTTCATAGTCCATTAATACATCCAGCACCAATAATTTCATCTGCTGTGGGACCTCCCTTCACCCATGCAGATAGCAGCCTGTCTATGATTCAGTAGCTAGGCCTTAGAAAGTGTTCTGAGACTCAGAGAGATTCGGCAACCTGTTCCTTGGTCACCTAATTATCAAAGAGAGGGTCAGGTCTTCTGATCATGGGTCTCCACCACGCACACATTGTTTGGATTTTCTTGAAGCCCAGGAGTCCTTGCTGTTTCTGTGCTCTTCAGGACTCAGTTGCAGTGAATAATTTTCATTCCTCAACTCTAAACTTCCTTAAATATGATGCCAAGTCCAGGCCTCGGCAAGGAGTCATAATTCACAGTCCTGTGGTGAAGCCAGACATGAAGAAACCCAACAACCAGGGATACTTTATTGGGTCTCCTGACACATTTGGCCCAGTTATCTCCCGAAGGAACAAGTGGCTAAAACCCACCAGCAGACTAGTTAACTTTTTCACATCTTTGTCCCTACTCTTCACAATAGCTCCCTTACATTCAATTAAGTTCAACTCAATCGCACAAACATTTTAAAGTGACTACTATGTGCTGAGCACTGCTTGTCAATCAGTCACAAAGCATTTATTAAGTGCCTGCTATGTGCCAGGAACTGGGAAAAGTACTGGAGATATAAAGACAAAACAATCCCTGCCCTCAAGAAGCTTACCTTCTAATGGAAGAAAACACATATACAGATAAGTGAATGAAAGATATACCTAAAACAAATGCAAAGTAATTTTTTTGCTGGGGAGAAACATTAATAATGGGGAACATTAGTCAAGGGTCTTGAAGGAGGTAGTGCTTATGCTGCAAAGAGAGTCCAGGGCTCCAAGAGTTGAGGAGGGAGAGCATTCCAGGCTTGAGGGACAGCCTATGAACAGGCCCAGGGACAGGAGATGGAACAGCAGTCCAACGAGTTTATTTGGAACATAAGAGTATGGAGGGCAACCAGGAAAGAAAAATGGAAGCCGTCTTATGAAGACCTTTAACTTTCAAACAATAAAGTTTGTGTTTTATGATGGCATCCATAGGGAGCCCCTGAAGCTTCCTGAGCGAAGGAGTGACATGTTTAAACATAAGTCCTGGCTTTGCCATCCAACTCAATATATGACCTTGGTCATTTTATCTCTTTAGGATCCAGCTTCCTCACTTGTAAAAAGAACATGATAGACCCTAAAAATTCATTCCAATTCAAAAAAATGTAACTATGAGATTATATATAATCATATATTATATATGTATGTGTGTTTATGTAGCACATATAATTATATATTCTATATAATTTTATTAATAAATATATAACATGAATATATTATTATGAGATATATAATCATAGGATTCTATAACTGATGAATGATGAGACAATAAGGTACTTGAGTGTTTACTCATCTTTGTATCTCTCCAGTACCTAGCAGAATGCTTTGCACATAGTAGGCACTTTAAAATAGGTGTTGACTGATGGAATTTCTTGAAATAATGCAGAGTAGCACATAGTAGGTGCTTTGAAATACATATATTGACTGAAGGAATTTCTTGACATAATATACATTAGCACATAGTAGGTGCTTTAAAATATATGTCTGTTGACTGAAGGAATTGATTGAAATAATATACAGTAGCAGGGTCAGAAACATGGATAAGGTCAATATGAACCAGCCGGCCCAGACAGCTACAGCAATCATTCTGGGAATCAGAAGTTCTCTGTTTATCCAGCTGATATCAATGTTAGTTGCTTAGATTATTAACATTATCCAGCTTTTATCCAGGAAACATGCTTTCTCCAAGTGATCAGAATCTTAGCTGTTTAAACAAAAAAAAAAAAAAGAAAGAAAAGACCAAGTGTTGGCTAATTAATGCAGGAGGAAAAATAATTGACAAAGCCATCAATTATCCTCTTGTTTGTTTAGTTAAGAGGTTGTGTCTCCATTATGTCCACGGGTGGTCATTAATAAAGATGAAACTGTTGAGATTTCAAAAGTGGGCTTGAATTTTATAGTCTTGCATTTCATCAGAAAGTCATTATCAGCCAGCGATTTCCTGTGGAAACACCTGTGATCAGGACCACAAACCTAATTTAAACTAACATTTAGCTTCAAGAATTGGAGTGTGTGGAGAAGGCTCATTCATTAACAAACAGATTTTTCCCTCTCTGCTGCAGACATCAGCCAGTGTTCAGTCTTCTGACATAAATCTGGGGGCACAAACAAACATAAGCTGGTATATGTGTACATACACACACACACACACACACAACCAAGTTTAACTGCAAAGGGCTGCCACCCCCCCACCCCCACCCCCTTCATGAAGCCCTCCATGCTATTTCAATTATTTAACAGATGAATTGTCAGATAAGGGGGATGGAGAGAGCAAGTCTGAACAAAAGATGCTTTCTTTTTCTCCCTGAGTTATTCATCAGTGTGGGGTGTACTCCACAGTGTGACGACTGAAACCCTGCCCCCCGACACACTGTCAGAACAGAGGGCAGCCCTGAGCGCTGAGTCCAGGGCCAAATTTCACCTATTTTCCTCAGGCTGATGTTGTCAGGGAGCATTCTCTGACTTACCTTCTCTTGAGTCTCCAGCTGCATCTGCCAAATGGCACGTTTTAAAATAGGGATTCTTAACCCTGAGGGTCCATGAACTTACTCTGTTAATATTCGATATTTCAATGTAATCAGTTTCCTTTGTAATCCTATGTAGTTTATTTTAGGCATTTAAAAACATTGTAGGAAGGAATCCAGAGGCTTCACCAGATCGATACAAAAACATTAAGAATTCCTCTTTTTAAACCCTTTTTCTCTTTTCCAGGTACTTCCTTCAAATATGTACATACACACATGTACAACCACACATGCACATACAAACACACACATGAAGCAACTGAGATCCCCTTCTCAAGCTGAGTATCAGATCTAGTCACGCAAGGGCAGGAACTGAGTCTTGAATGCAGTTTTTAGGTTAAAACTGTGAGCTACAGCAAAATAACCCCTCTGGTGGCATTTCCTGGAGGAAATGAGGAATCTTTCAACTTTGACTGATGTAGATTTGGGGGGAAAAAAAAAAAAACCCAGTTAGCCCGAGTGCAAGGACTCTGGCCCAGACTGGCTACAGAGAGCCAGAGGGAGAGTTCGGCCATCCTCTGGAGGAAAATCAATCACAATTCTCTAAAACAAACACACTCCTGATATGTTTAGACTAGGTGACAAAAGGCAGCCCTGAGAAGGAAAGCCTCTTGGTTTGGTTTGGGTTGTTTTTTTTTTTTAAAGGCTTCTTTTGCACCGGAAATTTACTTCACCGAAGAACCAATCAGGACACCCCTATACTGTTCCATGTCCTCGGTACCCTAGTATTAAAAACACTCCTTTATCTTTGACACTTTAAAGTTTACTGAGTCCTTTCCTTGACAACCCTTTGAGGCAGGCTGCGTTATCTTGAGACTTCAGTCTCATGGGCAGGTGATGACTATGTGAGAAATCTGGATCCGTGGAGCAAAGACCCAAGGCCAGATGCTTCACTCCCTGCCCCAGGTGTATTTTTTCTTCAGGAGACACTAAGGCTGTGTCTGTGCACTGTGAGATGTGTTGATACAAATAGGATTGGAGAGGACAGCTTCCAAAGTCCCTTTTCAGGGCTAGTGTTCTATGTAGTAAGGTTCCTTCTACCTCTGATATTTTATTTTCTAAATTCTGTGCCTCCCTTTTACTTCTGATAATTTATGTTTTCATGTTATTCCATGATCTAACATTCCATGACCTAAGATGCCCTCCAACCCTGACCTTCTTTGTTCTAAGATCCCTTCCAGCTCTAACATTCTGGCTCTAAGATCCCTTCCAGTTCTGACATTCTGGTTGTAAGGTCCCTCCCAGCTCTGACCTTCTCCGTTCTAAGGTTCCTCACAGAATATTCTCTCTCTAAGGTCCCTCCCAGTTCTGACTTTCTCTTTTCTAAGGTTCCTCATAGAACAGCACCTGCACCCCAGCTCTAACACTCTCTGTTCTCAGTTCTGATATTCTAGGTTCTATATTCCAAGCCCCCTTCTGGCACTTATATCTTATCTTTCTAGGGGCCCATTCTGGCTCTTATGTGACCTGAATGGAAAGCCAAAGATTCTGTCAGGAGCCAGTCACCTGTAGTCATTGTCTACATGCCACCACACCATCAGATATTTAGAATAACAGACTTCCAGATGATGACTTGAATTTCTTACACCTCTTCTCCAGAAATGGTTTAGGTCATACAAATACACCTTGACCACAGGAACTGAGCTGGGTACATTAGGTATAATGGTAAAACCATTGGATAAGAGATCTCGGACTGTAAGAGACCTACCTCACAAGCCATACAGTCTAAGCCTCTCATTTTACAGAAAAAGAGCTTGAGGATAATGTATGTGATGGAGCTAGAGAAAGGGTGGGATGGCATGGAAAGATAAATAATCACATATAACCATTCCCCAGAGAACTTTGCCTATGGGGAAACCCACATCCATCCTACCCTCTTCATATTCCTAGTTTCTTTCCTAAGCCAACATAATGTCATCTCTCCCCCTCACTTCAAAAAAAAAAAAAATGCTAACAAAAGCTGTGTCTTCTATGCACATCTGGCTAAAATGTTTTAAGATTCTCATTGTTTGAGTAGAATGCATACCATTTTCCAGTCTCACTCATTAGTATATGTTTTCTGTGCCTGTCACAATAATCCATTAGCTAGAAGAAACCGTACCGTGTCAAACAGCTTAGACCACATCCTCAGAATACCCTGATGAAGGATGGATTGTATTTGCTGGGAATGGGGTAGAGAGAAGATCGTCCAGGGGCTGGTCTATCCAGGCTGATCATGGGACCAGTACAGATGGCCATGGCTAATGCTCCTTCTCTGGAAATGCCCTGTTTTTGTCCCTGTCCTTTCAGGCCAGAAATTCAGGACATTGATAGCAATTCTCAGTGCCATGGGTTAGCCAACGAAAAGTCAGAGGATGTAGATGAAGAGGAGGAAGAGTTGGAGGAGGAAGATGATGACAGCCTGACAGGGAAGTCCCAGGATGAGACAGTCTCCCCCACAGCAGAGCCCCAAGGAGCCTATGAGGATGAGGAGGAGGAAGAGCCCACATCACTCAGCATGAGCTTTGATCACACAAGAAGGTGGGTGCCGCCATTTGTCTGGAGCTCCCCATGGTGGGTTGGTGGGCTCTGACTCCATCCAGAGTGGCTGGGTGGTGGAGGGAGAGGAGCAGGGATGAAGGCTTGATTGGCAAGCCACGGGGGCTGAGTTCACTTTATTTTTTTGGACTGCAAATCAATTTAAGCCTTCATTTCCAGTATAGTTTCTATCCCCACACCCCAAAGCCGCCTTCAGGGCAGAGTTAAGAGCTACTGCCACAGAAGGAAAATCCAAAAGACTTGTGTCTCGGCCAACTGCATGGACTCATGGGACTGGAGCTGCAAGGGACCTCAGATATTATTGAATTCAACCCCTTCGTCTTATGGGAGAGAAACTTGAAAGCCAGATAAGGGAAGTGATTGACTTAAGTTGCAGAGTCAAGACTATAATAACATTATATAATATAATTATATGTTACATGCAATATAATTATACAATATAACATAATATAATAATAATATAATAATAATGGCCAACATTAATATAGGGCTTTGAAATTTACAAAACACTTTATATAGATTGTTTCATTTAATTCTTGTGAGGTAGGTGCTATTATGATTCTCATTTCAAAGAGGAGAAAACTGAGGTCAAGTGACCTGTTTAGGGTCAAACAGTCAGTATCTTAGGTAGAATTCAAACCCAGGTCTTCCTGACTCCAAATCTAGTTCTTTACCCACCATCATGTGCGTGCTCCTTCCAGCTCTGGTATTCTATCCCTACTGTGTGCATGCACCGAAGAGGTCTCCCTTGGTACTTGGCCCAGTTCAAGGAGAGGAGGGAGGTACTATCATGGTAGGAATAAGAGTTATCTGATGGCCATGGCCTCTACTCTTGTCTGCCTCCTGCTGGTTGAATCCCGACAAAGCTAGGAACATCAGACAGGTCCCTGGAAGGGCCAAAGGAGTTAGCTGAGATGGCCAAGGAGGCATAAAATCTAGGCAAGTTGGATAATTTTAATAGTTGTCGATCAAACCACCAGAGCTAGAAAACCTCTGAATACCCACCTCCCTTCTACTGCCTTGGCCTCTAGATGACGTCCAAAGATCCAGGCCACTAGAGGACTAGCCATGGAGTCAGGAAGGTCTGGATTCAAACCTGCCTCAGGCATCACTAGCCATGAGCGAGTCATTTCACTTTTTCTGGGCTTTAATTTCCTCATCTGTAAAATTAAAGGGTTAGATTCGATGACCTCAAAGGTCCCTTCCCTAAATGGACAAATCTGTGATCCAGTGACTTAATTCCAAACTCCTTCATCGGTCACTCCCTGTAGCGGTCCAACTCCAGTTACATTGGGATGTTAATGCACAAAACGCATAAACAGCTCTCTGGAGACTAAGTTCAAAGCCTCATGACTTGAGATGAAGCCCCACACAGATGAGGTGGGTCAGAGCAATGGAACTGGCCATAGTGAATATATTTGTTGGCCAGGGGTAGCGGAAGATTGAAAACTCTGTAGAGGAAATCCAGCCAAGGTTGAGATGATGAGCTTGGGACTTCTCCAGCTCGGAAATTAATGGAGGTTCTCAGCCTCTTCAAAAGCCCTCGTGACTTGTGACCTTGAATCACCTGTGTGACCTTAGGCAAGTTATCTCCTCTCTCTGGAAGAGACCTGAGTTTCCTCATCTGTAAAATAAGGGGCTTGGCCTAGTGGCCCCTGAGGCCCTTTCTGCCTCTCAGTCTGGGATAAAGGACCCCTGGTTCTCTTAACCCAGATCCGATCAGGCTCAGTCCGGGGGAAAGTTTCCCATCAATTGGAACTGGCCAAATATAGAAAGAGCTGTCCCGGGATGGGAGAGGTTCCCCTTTATTGGAAGTCTTTGAGCAAAAGCTGGGGGTCCATTTATCAAGACGCTTAGGGAGGATTCCTGATCCAGATGTGGGTAGGTCCAGATGGGCCCTGAGGTCTCTTCCAGTGCTGAGACTCTGGGGTTCTGGTTTCTGAGTAATCAAAATGCCTCCCTGAATACTCCAGGCTTAGAGTTTGTCGGGCATGAGAAAGGAGGAGACTTCCCATGAGCTGGGGCTCATTACAGCACCCTTCTAAAAAGGGGCTGTGACAACCCACGAGGCCAAGGGAATCGGATAGAAGAGCATGGGTTCTGCAGATTCTCAAACAGGCTAAGGACAGAGCCTGTTTCTCTTGTCTCCTTCGGCACCATCCACCGCCACCATTACCCTCAGGGCCATTCCAGGAGTTTCCATCAGGAAACTCTGGGAATAAATTCCATTTCCCAGCGAATCACACCAGACTCTCCAACCCCTGGGAATGCGCGTCCCAGGCCTCCATTAAGAACTATATTAGGTTCCTGAAGTAATTAAGGACTGGTTATCCATCAACCAGCTCGACCAGACACCAGCCATCTAAACCCAAGCTCTTAGGCAACCTGAGGGCATGGTCCGGGTGCTGGCAGTGCGTGCACCCGTGACCACCCATCCTTCTTTCCTTCGGATTTCTGTTCATGCGCCCTGGCCCCCGCATCCTGTGTATGTCTATGTGCGTGTATGTGTGTAGCTTCCTGTCTGTGTGTGTCTGTGTGTCCATCTCTCTGTGCATGTGGCTTGTGGAGGCTCTGTGGGGTATGCATGCAGGCACCCAGTCAGCCGTTCGGGCATCAGTAAAAGCCTTCCGAGGCCAGACCAGCTAACAAACAGGTCACCCCCTTCCCTCCCCCTGGTCCTTGGTACAGGTGTATGGAGGAGGAAGAAGCCGGCCTGTTAGATTTGGAGCAGATGCCGAATTTTGGGAAGGGGCTGGATCTCCGCAAAGCAGCTGAGGAAGCATTTGAAGTTAAAGATGTGTTTAATTCCACCTTAGACTCTGAGGCAATAAAACAAACCTTGTACAGGCAGGCTAAAAACCAGGTAGGTATCTCTCTCTCCGAGCATCATGCCTGCCTCCTCCCCTCCCCTCCCACTGAGTCGCCAACAGCCTCTTGGGGTCCGTGGCTAGAGAGCTCTTTGGTTCCCACCAGACTGCCCCTTCCTGGCAGGGCTGCCCTGAGACCATGCTCACCTTGTTGCCAGTTTACAACTTGGAAACTTTCCGGTCACTTTTTTCGAATCCAGGCCTTCGGCTGGAGGGTCATAAGGTGACTACCTTGCCCCGTTGTTTTTAGTGACCCTGGGATATAAGATAGAGACTGGAGCTGTGATTTTATCGGTATCAGACCTCTCAGATGAGTTAATTCCATCTGCCAATTCAAGTCGGCACTTTTCTCTGAGACTTCCAGTCTTTAACCCTTAACCTGGGATGATAACAGGCGAAGCTGCTTGCCCAGAATCACATAACAAGTATGTGCCAGAGACAGGACCTGAACCTGGGTCTTCCTGACTCTGACCCCCTGGCCGATTTACCATGCTTCCTCTTCTTTGATCTGCTCAGATAGAATTAAATCCTAAATTCGACCTGCGCCAGTGTTATAGTTGAGTGATGGATCTGTGATCTCCTCAATTCCTGAGTTCCCTCCATCCATGCAGATGGCAACCCACCCAGGCCTGCCCATCTGGTGTGACTTCATTGTACCAAGAGCATCAAAATTAAGTCTGTAGATGAAGCGTCCTGTGCCCCATGTCTACCGTTCTGCCACTCTCACTATAGCAATTTGGGGGAGGGAGGTTGCTTCTCTGTTTTAAATCTTTCCTTGTTTTCATGGGTTGCCCTGGCCAAAAAAGTGTCATCACTAGGTGGGCAGCCAACTCTTCATGACTGGTTAGTCCAGTCTTCAGAAAACAGACGTGGTCTTCTGAATAGAATTTGGATATTTTGGAAGTTTTCCTTTTATCTTATTTCTCCCTTTCTTTTCCTTTCTTTCTCTTTCTTTTGTTCTTAAAAAAAACCACCACCAACAACAATCAGCAAGTGCTTTGGTTGTAAAAATGACTATTCTCTTGACCAATAACTCTCTGATTTGTTTTTGTCCATTTGGACCAAGCCAAGGCACCTCAGATTGGCACTGAGACCAGAGATTGTACCATTTCCAGGAAAGGGGACAACTGTTAGCAGCCCCTTAGCCTCAAATTGTTCAGAGCCTTTCCTCAAAAGAAGTTCCAAATGTCTTCTCATTCAGTCCTACTTTAAAAGCTGATGTATATATATCCTGTGGGTCCCACAGATAAGAAAAAAAAAACAGGCTCAGAGGAAATGTCTTTAATGTTATTTTCTTAAGAGAGAAGCCATTTGAATGGCATAATAGCGTGCTAGGCTTACAGTCAGGAAGATTTGGGTTAAAATCCCCTCTCTGATACTTACTATCTGCATGACACTGGGCAAGCTGTCTAAGACTCAACCCACTCACTAAGTTACAGTAGGCTATAGGTGGGTCATGGGGTACATAAGAAGAAGGATTTCTCACATCAACAAATCTGCATGTTCTCGAGGTATTGACCTAAGGGATATTGTTTTCCAAACATATTGCCTATATTTAGAACTTCACTCCGTATCTAAGATCCTAGAGAGTGAGGTCGATTTCTTTTCCACGTTCTATGCAAGACCCAACCAGGGACAGGTGCTAACTAAATGTCAAGCTTAAGTTACCTTGTCTGTCTAGACAGGTTGAGAGGAGGACACCGATGGGGGCTCGGCACAAGCCATTTGCATGTCTCTGTCTTTTGTCTTTTTACTAACCCTGCAAAGGGCATCCCCTGTAGGAATGGACAAGAAATGTTTTGTTTTGTTTTGTTTTTTCCCCTATAAGTTCAATCATTTCCAACAAGAAGACATTTATAGAAATCACTCTGAGTGCTCTGATGGAAACATTTCATATTGACTCCGTCAATCAATCAATCAATCGATAAACATTTATTAAGCGGCTATTATGTGCCAGGCACTGTGTTAAGCTCAGGCCATTGAAATTATAAAAAATAAAAGAAAGTACACTTCTCTGCATCATAGATTTGGGTTATTTAACTGATGATTTAAAGCAACAAAATGTGATGGTGTTTCTCTCATCATTCTGTCAGTCAGGGCAATCATGGCCCTCCATCCCCATGGGCTTGGCTTTGATGGGAGTTCCTACAGAATCAACATAGGCAGACCTATTCCCACTCTCCCACTTAATGCCCAGGCCCACTGTCACCTGACAGGTGGGTTTTGTTCATCTTTGCTGGCAACCAGAAACAATTTGCCTATGCCCAGGATTGTATAATTCTCACCCTGGGAAGATACAATCACAACAGAGTCCCTGCCCTCATGGGGATTATAGTCTAGTAGGAGGCCAAGACCAAAACACAAATGTCCATAATATGCAATATGCTAGATGCGTGTCTTGGAGAAGTGCAGAACAAAGTGTTCTGTGAGCATGAAGAGGGAAAGGCATGAGCTGCACAGCTATGCCTCCTTGTAAAGGTGAGGCTGCCTGGGTGGTTTTCCAGGGTGGTTTCCCAGGGAATAACTGGGCCACTTGTTGGGGATTTCTCCATGTCATTCTAGATCTATTCACTCATCTCCCTTGACGTTTGTCTGTGTTGTGGTCTCTTTCCTTCCCACCAGGCTTATGCAATGATGCTTTCTCTGTCTGAGAATGCTCCTCTTCACGCTTCCTCCCAGAATTCTCTGGACGCTTGGTTGAACATGACGGGAGCAGCGTCAGAGACGGGGGCCTTCAACTCCATTAACCACCTCTGAGAGGTCACGGAGGCACTGGGGACAGAGTCCAGAGTGAGAAGACTCCCATGCTATTAATCCCCTCTTGCAGAAATTCTGGACAACCACAAGACAGAGCAGAGACCCTCAGGGAAGTCTCTAGGCTTTGGGCTGGGGAAACAGAACTCTTCACCTGTGATCTGCAACGCCTGATTTTGGGGTTGTTTTTGTTTTTGTTTTTGTTTTTTAAATCTACCCACCGTAGTTTGTCTCTGATTTCTCAAACTGAACCTCAGAACCCAGAGAATCCCTGAAGCAGTCCCAGGATTTCACCATCTCTAAGAATAGTTTTTGGAAACACAGCTAATCTGTGGTACAATAATAGCACATTAACAGCGATCAAAACCTAGTTCATTAGAATTGTGAGACAGCAACCCCCCTCCCCCCCATCAGACCAGCTAATGTAGAATTTTTAATCTGATATTAAAGCCATTTGGCCATTTCAGGGGACCTGAATGGCACTTCTTAAGGGAAGAGGATAGACCTAGTTGGGCTCTAAAGAGATAGATCACTTTTAAGTTGCTATTTTTTGTTTTTGTTTTTGTTTTTTCATATATAATGAAAAGGACAGAAATAACTGTTTTAGTAAATCTTGTTACTACAGATTCTCTTTGAGCTCATGAATTTTTTAAAGTATTTTTTAAAAACTCTGAAATTACTTGCAAATTTTTTTTAAACTAGTTTTGCATTGATTTGAATGATCAGCTCCCTCTGGACATTAACCAGCCTCAAGCACAGCATAGGGATTGCATGTGCTTTTTAAATCCTTCAGGACAACCGTGGACTTTTATCCCCGCTCTCTTTTCTATCTCTCTCTCTCTCTCTCTCTCTCTCTCTCTCTTTCTCTCTCTCTCTCTTTCTCTCTCTCTCTCTCTCTGATCCTGTTTGTCCACTTGGAAAAGTGAAAATGAAGGCTCATGGAGACCTTATGTAAAAACCCTACTAGAGTAAAAATTAAGGGCCTTCCTGAGCCATTCTTAGACATGGTGTCATTGCAGATAGGACTGCCCCATGGTTGGGACTAAGAAATGTGCCTGCCACTAAGTGACTTGTAGCTAGAGCTAGGGAACCTCTAATTTTGCCCAATGGGAGGGGTCTACTGGCAATGCATCCATGGCGCCTAAATTTGATGACTTTGGGCTGATGTGAGCCACCTAGGACGCAGAGGTACAACTGAGGTGGGCGAGTGTAAAAGGGGCCCTCAGTCCCTTACATGCCGAATTCCCCCGAGATCCAAGGGGTCTTGCTTCTGTTGTCCCTGGGTCCCCACCTCCCTATTCAAGATTTGGGGCCTGTTGGCCGTTCTTGGGTCGCCCTAGAACTGTGCCCTGCTCCCTCCCACCTCGCTCTTCCACCCCCCATGATGTGGACTGGAAGAACAAAAAGCCATTTCAGTTGGCTCTCTCCCGTGGCTACCAAAGGGAGTCAAAGACTTCTAAGCCGCCAAGTTCGTATGTGTGCCTCGGACTCTGGATTCACAAGACACTATTTAACTCCCGTTTCCAATGTTTGCACAAGATCTTGGCAAGACGCGACTCAAGAACCGAATTGTGTCCACCATCGTTAGCCAGGCTCTAAGAGTTTAAGCTAGAACATTCCTTTCCTGGAAACCTCCACCCGTCCTCCAGCACCACAGTACTTGCCCATTCGAATGGGTTTTAAATTATTCCCATAGGGGCCAATTTAAAATAATAATGTTTTTTTCCTCATGGAATTTACCTTAATCTGTATATAACTTTGTAATTTTTTTCTAATTCTTTTCTTTTTCATTTCTTCATTAACAGTATTTTTTTTTTCTGGCATTAGATATCCTCATTGTGAAAAAAAAAAATGTTAATATAAGTATCTAGTGAAGGACCAAAATCGTGTATTAAGGTTGCGTGTTGTATGATTGATAACCAGGGAGTAGGACAATTTTTTTAAATTAATGTGCCAAATACCCCCTAATTGATCCCGCTGTCATTGCTGCCAATTATCCAGACAATCATATGTTGTGTTAAATTTGATTTTCGATTACAGTCGCATTTAGGATAAGTGTTCTATTTATTTCTTTTATTGTTTGGAAGGAAAGGAAAGAAAAAAAAAAACTTAATGACCCAAGAAGAAGAGAGAGGTGGGAGAGGGGAAAGGGGAAGGGGGGAGTGGGGCAAAAACCTCACCTAGGTTACCCTTTAAAAGAAAAATTTCTAGTGTAAATAGAGACAACTGTGAACCGAGGTGTTTTTAGCCAGGGCAGCCTCCGAGGTAAAAGTGCCATATTGCAAAGAATTTTACAGTGTTTATTTATAGAAAGAAATGGGAAAAGAAAAAAAAAAGAAAGAACTCAATCAGGTTGATTCCGGTTATTGTTTTCAAGTACAGCTGATGCATTCACAAAGATCATTCATTGATGATAGTTGTAAATAGTCAGAGTTTGAACTTTAGCGATAGAAATATCTATCCGTCAGGATGGTAGCTGCGGGAGGAGGGAATCCTGGGATTTGAGTTGATGGTCAACTTGCTTTGATAGATCAGAATCTAAGCGATTCTGTTTTTTCTTCTTCTTTCAAGTACGATAATGAGTCTCAGCTTTCCTTCTTTTTTTTTTCTTTATCAGTTTACCTGTCCACAGCACTAGCCGCTCCTCCAAGTATTAAGTTTTTGTGGGTAGGTCTTTTTTTGCACTGTTCAGCAAGCTGGGGACTATCCTTCTTTTGAGAAAGCAGACAGGGAGGGTTGATTAGAAAAAGATGTGAATGAGGCGGGCTGGCCTCGTCAGCATCGAGCAAAGCTTGCAGATCAAAGTGTTCGCCTCCACATTCGTGGTTCTGCCGATGTTCCGTGAGTTTGCCAGGCCCATTAGATGTTGTAGAGGAATTTCTCTGCTCAAAATAGGACTCTCTTTGAAAATTGACTTCAGTCATGAATCCCCCCTTTCTGCAAATTCTGATTGTAATCTTTTCCCTTTAAAAGGTTAAGGTAAAGGGTGGAGGCTGGAGGGAGAAGCTTATTTCCCTGTTTTCTCTAATTAGGCAAGTGGAGACTATCAGCAGAAATATTAAACACACACACACATACATATATTGGCAACATTAAAAAGAGATGAGAGTTAGCATTTTTCATTACCATTTATTTCTTCCTATTTTCTGTTAACAGAGTAAAATACTCAGCTTCTCTGCCAATCCTAGATTCTCAATCAGGACCCCAAAGGTCATCTGGTCCAACCTGTAGCCACAGCATGATCTCCTCTCTGGCATTCCCAACAAGTAATTATCCAATCCTTTTTTTAGAGAACTCATTATCCACCCTTTCCGTCTCCCCTAGACCCCTAAAAGGCAGCTTCATTCCATTTTTGGACAGATCCAATTGTTAGGACATTTTCCCCGCTTTTATATAAGAGTTGAAACCTGCCTCTCTGTAACTCCTGTCCATCGGTCCTGGTTTTGTCCTTTGGGGCTAAACAGAATGAGTGAAATCCTTCTTCTATGCTACAACTCCATGTGTCTGCACAATGTCTCCTCTTCACCTCCCCCCCAAGAGCCCCTCTTACACACTTGAACCTCCTGAACTAATTGCTTTGTTTCCCTGCAAGACATTTAGAGCTCATGAGATTTCTGCTTAGTAGTAAGGTCTTTATGCTTCCATGTGGATGATTTCATCATTTATAAATCATTTGAAAAAGAAAGCACTTAATTCCTATGATTTGCCTGTCCCTGGAATGTTTTTTCTAAAAAAAAAAAAAAATGTTAGATTCCCCCAATCTGAAGTGAGGGCTTATCTTTACCACAAGCTTCAGGAAAGCCTAGGTATCAAGGTTTCCACCTCAGTTCAGATGATTCTAGGTCAAGTACACAAAACACCAGTAGAACCCCTCTGTTCTCGACTCAGGGATTCTGGTGGAATGATGAAGGTGCTAGGAATCCCAGGACACCATATTTGGAGCAGCAGAGAGTTCAAGGACCCTGCTGGTCTCTTTTAATCTCTTTTAAATTCCATGTTGTTTCCATCACTGGTAGCTATAGCATCATGACCACAAAGCACAGAAATGGTGTGACTGGAGCAGTTGCTAAGTCACCATGTGCCCTAGTGGGCTGAAGGAGGCTAATGGTAAGGGGAGGCCACATTGCTGCCCTGGTATGTGTTCCAGACATACCGTCATGTTAAATCAGTGGAAATGACTATTCTATTTCCCCCAACCACCAGGCGGCTGCTAACATTTCTCATGCATCAAATTTACGCCCTGCTAGAACGACCAGACAATTGGGTCAAATCCAATGAAAACCATCAACCATACCGGTGGGTTGACTGAACTAACCAGTTGTTGTACGTGACTGTCCAGGTCAGTTGGCCTTGTTCTCCTGGGAAGAGGTAACTTAATCTTTCGTCTTGTCCTGGGACCCAGGATTCCAGCAAAATGAGAAGGGATAGTTGACCATGTAGGACATGGTAGGCCAGAATGGGAAGAAATGGCCATGAGAAAGAAAGCCTTTTCAAGGGAAGAGACAAAAAAAAAATACTTTCTTTGATGTGCCAGCTGAGGTCTCAGAAGTCTGTCCTCTTTATCTCTGTCCTGTTTGCATATGCCTAAGTTGGTATACCCATTTTTTAGACTCTAAGCATCAGAGTTTTAGGTATCTTCTCCCACCCCACTCCTACCCAGTTGACTTCAAAATGCTCAGCCCTAGTGTGTTTGCTGAATCTGAGGGGAAAAAAAAAAAAGAAAGGAGGGATTGAGGTAGCCAAGTTTAGGGAGAAGGGCAGCCCGCCCTTAACTGCCTGTTACAGACCTAATAGGGAGTGAGTTGGCAAAAGCTCTGATCTCAATTAGGAACATGAAGGCAAAACTGTTCCTGGTTGGCAGTCAATTCTCCCAAAGCCATGAAATTCTTTCTCTCTTGTGTTGAGTGATACTGTGATGAAAGCATCCTTACATCCTGAGGACTTAAAAAAAAAATGTTGTTTTTTTTTTTTTCCCATGTGGCAGAACTGGACCAGTAGAAAGAATGCTGGATCTGGGTCAGAGCACCTGGCGTCAAATACCAGTTATGCCACTTACGAGTTCTGTGACCTTGGGCAAGTCACCGAACCTGTCTGGGCCTCAGTTTCCTCATCTGCAAAATGAGGAGGGTTGGATGAGTTGACCTCTAAGGTCTCTTCCGGCCCAGATGCTATGACCCCATGCTCCTCCTTTTCATTCTTCTCTTTCTCTCACTCTCCTCTATTTTTTTTCAATAATTGTTATTGTTATTGTTATTATTATTATTATTATTTTGCCTATCATGGATTCTTATGATTACCACTTTTGGAAAAAAAGATGAAGAAGGCAGCTTAAGTTTCCAAATGTGTAATTCACTAGTGAACAGTCACTCAGAAGGTTTCTTTTGGCGATATTTTCCCCGATCGCCACTCTCTTCCAAGCAATGTCTTCTCCAGCCTGCAGGAAAAAAAAAAATAAACAAAAAAAAAGTAATTTAAAAACATAGTTATATCACGCTTGTTAAGAATCCTGAATTTAGGCATTTTCTGTTGTTTCTTTCCCCATTGTTACGAGACCTGTTTGATTTAAGGTTCTTTGTTGTTGTTTTTGTTTTTTTCTTTTAGGGCTGTATAGTGTTGGGAAAAAAAAATAATCAAATTGTAAATGTCTGGTTCTCATATAATGTTTCAAAACCATTGAGAAAGCGGATGGTGCTCGTCCTGTTTCACTTCGGATTGTATATTGCTTCGGTTATGTTTATAAGTAAACTGTGCATGACTCGTGTTTAGCGGTCATTACTGTGTCTGTTTGTGAAATTTTTATGAAAAACAGAAAAAAAAAATTCCGTAGATGCACTTATGTATATGTGATTAGGTTCGACGTCCAGGACTAGAAATCGGGGACTGCTCAGATGACAAGGGGAGAGGGCAGTTCTTAATTAATTAATATGAAAATCGCTTGTGGGAGAATAAATGAGATTTTAAAAAAAGATATGAAGTGTAGAAAATCATTAAAATGAGCGATTTTTTTTTTTGCAAAATTTCATTTTGATGCTTGTGATAAAGACAAATGTACTTGTGTAGAGAAATTCCTTTAAAATAATGACTAGGAAAAGCTGATTTTGAGGGTAATGCTGTAGATTAGGAATGTATACCAAATGTAATCTTTCCAATGCTATGATGAATTTATACATGAGATTGATATGCAATAAACCTGTGTGCTTTTCTAAGACCGGTGCTGCTGACTGTTATTGTGCCGGGCCCCCAACACCTGCCCCGGAAGGAAGGGAGGAGTGGGGAGGGGATCCTCACCAGGAACAGTGAAGAGAATGCTTTCAGTCAAAGCTGTAGCTACCTCTTTTCGTGCCTGGGGCAAGTGTGCTCCAGATCTCAGAGCAACATCGTGTGGTAGAGGGAGAGAAACTCTGGGACGTAGAGAAGTTGAGGGCAGGGAAGGGGGGGGGGGGGAAGAGCTCTCACTTAGGGTGCTTTTCTGGTAGGTTCTGATTTTGACTTACTAATTTTTTTTTTTTTTAGGCAATTGGAGTTAAGTGACTTGCCCAGGGTCACACAGCTAGTAAGTGTCTGAGGCCACATTTTTAACTTAGGTCCTCCTGACTCTGGGGCTGGTGCTCGATCCACTGCGCTACCTAGCTGCCCCTTAACTTACTATTCTTGCTAACTAGGCCTGAGGCTCAGTTGTATCCACTGAGGTCAGCAGCCTATAAATTTCACTGCCCTAGGACACAGCCCTTATCGCGTTGGCCTTGTTGTGGTTTTGGTATTAACATTAGGTGAAAAAGAAAATGAATGCTCTTCACTCTACCCATCCATCCCTTCACTCCCCCCCACTCCACTCCGGCATGAAATGGAATACTCCCATCCCTTTTCCTATGGTCTAGTGAAGCCCCTCCCCCCTTTCCTTCAAGACCCAGCCATGGGTCTCTTCCATGGTTTTTCCATCCTAACACTTCTCACTTTCCCTTGAATCACAATTATCTGGTGTACATCTCATTCTCTCCCTCTCATGCCAGTTAGATAGTAAGCTGCCTCTTTTGTAGTTTTTCATCATATCTCTTCCCTTTCTAGTAGAGGGAAAGGTCTCTGTCATTAGAACCCTAACTAGCAATGTTGGGGCCCGGAGCAAAGA